TCTCTCTCTCTCTCTCTCTCTCTCTCTCTCTCTCTCTCTCTCTCTCTGTCTCACTATATCTTTCTCACCCTCTTCTCTCCTAGTACAAAGCTCTGATCGCCATGTTTCCGTGAGCTAGAAATTATAGACGCGTCATTATAGTGTGAGCGACTCTCTCTCTCTCTCTCTCTCTTCCTGTCTCTCCCTCTCCCCCCCCCTCTCTCTCTCTCTCTCTCTTCCTCTCTCTCCCTCTCCCCCTCTCTCTCACTCTCCCCATCTCTTTCAAGCTCTCTCTCCCTCTCCCCATCTCTCTTCCTCTCCCCATCTCTCTCCCTCTCCCCATCTCTCTCCCTCTCCCCATCTCTCTCTCTCCCTTTATCTCCCTCTCCCCATCTCTCTCTCTCTCTCTCTCTCCCCATCTCTCTCCCTCTTCCCATCTGTCTCCCTCTCCCCATCTCTCTCCCTCTCACCATCTCTCTCTCCCTCTTTCTCTCCTAGTAAAAGGTTCTAATCGCCATGTTAACACTGTGTGGGTGAGCAAGATGGAACCCTCCCGCCTTGTATCCTTGAAATGAAAATCGCGCCATCAGTGTGAACGACGGACGCGGTGAATTCACCGCGTAATCGCTGACGAGAAAATTGCACCGCTTGCCGCTAATTAGGAAAGGCGCATCTTGATTGTTCATTTTAATTACCATCGACGTTCCGATGAGTCGATAACGACACGAACGTTGTTCTAGACGTGGATGATGTTGTCTGATGTGACGTAATATATCAAGAGCATAATTATATAATACCAAGAGTGATTGTATGCACTTGATAATATATATATGCAGTAGTGTATAATATATATATATACTATACTATACACTCCTTACATATATATATATTATATTGTGTCACTCGTGATGTTATCGAAAAATCTAAAAGGCGCGGGATGCCAACTCTCGAAAAGTAAATGTGCATGCACTGGTCATATCAGCCGTAGATTATAGACACCTATAGACATCTATATGTTGATGTTCTTGATGGTATACACCGCCACGACGTTGACCGTACACGCGTTCTATTGACTTTGCTGCTGTCGTCTGCTATCATGTGTGGCCGCGTTGCCAATTAGAGGTTCAGCAGAATCGATGATTTCATGCGGTCAGCCTGGATCTCGAATCGAGATGGCATGGAAAGGATTGTAATGCGCTTATAGGATGTATTGGCGATCGAATTGCGGGCTGTGACAAGGATTTATAATATATACATATATATATA